ACTTTGTTATTGAACCTAAATTAAATTATAATAAAAAATTAAATTAAAAATATACAAAAAAATAGAAATTTTAAATAGTTAATTTGATACTAATATCGATGTATTTTTGTCAAATTTTTTATAATATTTTCAAATTTATATTTTATTCAAAAATAAAAAGATTATCGTTTTTTTAAAATCACATAAGACCATACTATAACATTGATTGAGATAAAAAATAAAATGAAATATTAAAATCAATATATATCTCGCTGCATTGCGCGAGTACCCTTCTAGTATATATATATAGGGTCAGGTTCAAATGTTAACCAAAGTTTTTGTGTTAACTTTGTTAACCGATCTTGGCCATTCAATCTTTCAATAAACGGTTGTGATTAATCATGATAAAAACTTATTTTTTTAATTAAAAATTTCATAAAGATAAGTGAACAAAGTTGAAAATATTTAGGTAAAAAAAAAATTATGTAACTCCCATATCATTAATTAATTGGGAGTTACAATATAAAAAATTGTATATTTTTTTGTTAATTTATTTTTGTTAATGTAAGAACCGTATGAACATAACTACATATATATGAACCATTGTGTCAAATACGAACAAAAATTTGACATATATATGAACTTGGACTGCATAGCATTTATGAACACAATATTAATATAATAAGAAAAACTGTTATACGAAAGAAAATAAATAAATAAAAACAGGTATGAACACGACATGAACAACTTGTGAACAATAGTTTCTTCATTATAAACACATTCAGGAGCGATCCTTTGTCAATTGGAGTTTTATACATGCATTGCATCCACACCATTTAAGGTTCACCTCTTGTTCATATATGTTTCTGATCTCATATGGTTGTTCACCGGGTTCATATCGTGTTCACCCCTTATTCATATCGTATAAAATATATGAACACATAACCCCAACGCTATGAACACCGGGTGCAAACACTTACACAAATATAAAGATTTGGTATCAAGCTTAAAAAATAACACTTGTGTTAATATGATAGAAGTAACATGAACACAATGATTCATGATTCATAAAATTCGGTAATATGACAATATGAAAATGGGTCGTGCATGTACTTCCATTTGAACATGTGATTTAGGTACGTATTTTAGTAATTAAAAAAAGCTATCAATACAAGATGAATTATAAAAAACACAAYACATCGTAATGAACATAATTTCGATTAAAACGAATCTAAAAAAAATAAAAATCTATTACCAAGACATTCGCTTTGGTTAATTTCTTCAATTCCCGACCTCGAACTCCGATTGTCATCATAAACCATTTTAATCTTCTCACTGTTGTTGATTTATATTCCATTGTGTTTATCCATATTAGCTTGATTGATACCGAAATTTTTTACTACCGTGTTTTCTATGCAAATTAAAAACTGATAAAACAATAAACATGGAAGATCAAGATTAAAAAAAAATATTAATATTATAAATGCATATTTTTTGGGATTTGATTATTTGTAACTCCCCATTAATTGTTTGGGAGTTACATATCAAATCAATTTACTGAAATACCTTTGTAATTAAAATGTGAACATGACATAAACCTACAAGAAGAATGAAATTTGATTGGTTGTCATGGTTTTCAAAGTTAACACAAAATTGTTAGTTAACATTTGATCTTCCCCCCCTATATATATATATATATATATATATATATATATATATATATATATATATACTAGAAGGGTACTCGCGCACTGCAGCAAGACACATCTCGATTTTAATGTTCTATTTTATTATTTGTCTCTGTCGATATTATAATATGATTTTATGTGTTTTTAAGAAAGCAATAATGATTTTATTTTTGAATAAAATATAAATTTGAAGATAACATAAAAATTTAAAAAATATATATATACCAATGTTAATATC